TCGTCAGGTGTGTAGTAAAAAGTCCAAGGTGTTATACAAAGACCGTGCTTTTGAAAATTTAGGTCCTAAACTTTTTAATGAATTACCTCTGTCTGTTCGTTCTAGTCCTTCAGTAGACATTTTTAAATCCAGACTGAAAACGCACTTATTTAAATGTGCTTTTAATATTTGACTGATTGTTTATTGTATCAGCGCCTTTGATCTTCATATGTTGGAATTGTTGCGCTTAATTAAATAAAGTTATTATTTAAAAGTTATTATTATTAATGTTTGCATGGTATTTGAATGACAAGGATTCCAAGTCTATGTAAGAAATGCACTAGTTAGCTAAAGCAGAGTTTGTAATAGTTATAGCATTGGCCGACCATATCGCTATATTCCCAAAATTGTAAATATACAAAACAGACCACCGTTATGAGTTGATAACAACGATCACCTACACAGGCGTGTTTCATTGGGTTCAATAGAAACCGTTACTGTTAAAAAAATGATTACTCTATTTAAAACAATACAATGCTTGATGGTTGCCAAACCATAAGGCTGATCCAAAACATTAGTTTTGTCTAAAGGAGTCTAGTAACATAACAAATTTCAAAATAATCAAATAAAAAGAGTACTAAAAATAATAAAAATGCTTTGCAAACTTCGTTGAGCATTATATATAGACGCTAAAAACAAATTCTAGCGTTCAGAGGGTTTGAATAAGATTTTCAAGTGTGTTGAGTAATTTTTCGGGGAAAAAACGTTTTCATTCGTGAAATATGTAGCACATACAACATACGGCAATAATACTACTACCAACAAATCAGAATGCCTAGACCCCCCCCCCAGAAAGGGTCCAAAATGCCCAATTCGAGTTTAAATATGACTGCCGATCTAGTTGACAATGACAATTCTGAAAGCGGAGCGCTAGTTCACATTAGTTTTTGTCAGTATAGACAGTTTATATTGTGATAAGGCGATAATGATTCAATGTAGAACTTGCGATGATAACAGTAATTCAACATCAAAACTTTTCACACACGCATCAATATAATTAATTCATAAAAATGAGTATACTTTGACGGTAATTCTATGTTTTATTTGTTGTAGTACCGTGGTGCTTACAATGCTATAAGGCATCTTATTGATGACTGTCCTGATAAGTCGAAAGTGGAAGTGGTGACACACAGCAGTGGTAATCATGGACAGGCAGTATCACTAACAGCTAAGGAGGCGGGTATAAAAGCATATATTGTTATGCAAAATAACACCCCAGATGTTAAAGTGCGCGCAGTTGAAGGGTATGGTGGTACAGTTATTTTATGTGAACCTAGTGAGAAGGTGAATATTCTAAGTTGTATAGGGTCAGACGTCGAGTAAATCTTCATTATTCAACGTGATTGAAATGAAAGATTGTGTCGAAATGTTTTTGACAGCGAATGGGCGACGTGTCTTCATTTGCAGGTGGAAAGAAAAACATAGATTTATTATGATAATAATCATAGATCAGTATTGAATCACGTTATTATTCGGCAATTATTGATGATATCTGTTTGTTGGATCACGTATATACTTTCTTGTTTCATCAGGTAAATGTAGTGCATTCACAAAGATGTTGTATTTGTGAACCCTCTGCCATTTTATGGCAATACACACCCTCGTGGGGCACTGGATCACATGCAATGACATAAAACGAAGTAGAGTGATGCAAAAATAAAAATAATTAGCACATAATGCTATCAGATTCTAGAACCAATTCACCATGCGTGGATACTGAAATCACCAAGCCACGTGTGGCTCCTACCTGAAGCGGGCTGAAACTCAAGTTTCCAGTCGGACTTGTAGAGCAAATATGTTACTGCAATGAATACAACACACAGGAAGTCACAGCTTATGTTTGAGAATCGCTCGCTCGACATATAACAAAGTTACTGAACATATAAGTCAGCTGATGGCCCAGTGATAATACTAAATAGGACTTTTTTATGCGAAATACAACTCAGCTTGTTAACTCACTTGTCTTGAATCAAGACCAGTCGACCCCTTTGTGTTTTTACTTGGCGTTCAACATGCAATGTGTGGCACGACGAACATAGCCAAGGTCTCGAATCGTTTAGTAAAATCAACAATTATTTAGGTTGTGTTATGCCGAGCAATAGTGCGACTCATATATAAACGATGATCGACTTTGCAGAGGCAGCAAATAATCATTATATTAAGATACATGTATAACTAACCATATGCTATAATTATTTCATATATGCATATGCTACTACGTGAAATATCTATACTGACAGTCAACATGATGTCTACATATCACCCATCTCGACAGTATACTTGTTACTGGGGACACACATTTTGACTTTTCATGTGTCTTTATACGTTTCTATAGGCACGAGAAGCTGTAGCCCAAAAAATAGTTGAAGAAACTGGCGCATCATTTATTTCTGCATCACAACATCCAGATGTAATTGCTGGTCAAGCAACAATGGCAGTAGAGTTATTAAATGAGGTAAGTATACAAGTTAGTGAAAGAAGTAAGCATCATTTAGAGGGAATTCAGTCAATGGGTAAAAAACAATTAAAATGAATTAATTACTTAAGTAAATGGGAGTATCTAATAACCAAAAGGAGAACATCTTTTGGGTTATGTTGCCCAATTGTAGGCATTTTATAACAAACAAACTACAGTTGAAACATTAATTGGTACATTTAATTCAGTAGTCAATTGTATCCAAAAAAAATAGATCAGAAAGGGCAAAAAAAAACAACACTTAATTTAGTTTTCTAAAATTCAGTGTCAGAACTATTTGACTGGGCGGATTTCATTCAAAAATTATATGCATATTATACATATTGTGCATAGATTCATTTCATAGTCTTATCAAAGATGGCCGACTCGTAGCTGTTTTAGTTGTAATGTACTCGATCAAGAATATCTACCAATTCGGAACGAGATCTCGGGCACTAGAGAATGATTTTTTTTCAAGATTTTGCCAATATCATATTAAATCATATAATTGAAATGAGTCATGTTGAATGCTAATAAAATTAAATTGTATTAAATAAATAAAAGCTTATGTGACTGCATTTTCATTTCATATTATACATGTATTAATAAGTTGAATAACAAAATCAGTTTACACACTAAATGCATATACATTTCTACAGTATTATAATTTTCTATTTTAGGTACCTAATCTTGATGCTATTGTAGCCCCTGTATCTGGTGGTGGTATGGTTGCTGGTATCTGTATTGCTGCCAAGGTATTTTTTTAAGGTTTTGTTTTCATTGGCCCTGTTGTAGAGGTCAATTAAAACTCCCCTTAAAGCCTAGGAAAGTGGTGAGTGGTGTTATTCGATTGTTGGTATCTGTATTGTTGCCAAGGTATTTTTTAGGTTTTGTTTTACATTGGCTCTTTTCTAGAGGTCAAATAAAACTCACCTGAGAGCGGTGAGTTGTGTTGTTCGATATAGCTGGCTTTGCTTTTTTTATCGTGAATTGCCAATGAATATAATAAATAGTACAGAGGTCATAATGGGCTGCTTCTATTCCAGTAACCATACTATCATTTTGCTTTAACATAGAACATTGGTGTATGCTACTGTCCATAGAGGTAAACCATACCAGTAACACCATAGTGAGCCATATTTAAGCACTTTCATCCACATCACAAATTGCCAGACACAGCAACACATAATCCGTCTCATTGATTGACATCATCATTGCATCATGATTGATTAATACAAAACAAATTTTAAGATAGTATTTTTGACAAAGTAAAAATTTGTAAAGCTGAGCCACTGAATGAATAATTTTCTGATTTCAGTTTAATTGCTACATATTTAATTTAATTTCAATTCAATTGTGTTTTTACAGCACATCAAACCAGATATTAAAATCTATGCAGCTGAACCCATCAATGCTGATGACTGTGCCAAATCATTGGCTGCAGGTCACATAATTCCGTTACCGGGACCACCAGACACAATCGCTGATGGATTGAGAGCTACAGTTGGGGCTTTAACATTTCCTATTATCAAAGACCATTTGGAGGATGTTATCACCGTTAAAGAAGAAGAAATTAAAGTATGTTATATAAACATTTATTAAACCTTATTATTATAATGTATTATAATTAATTCAAGAAGTTGAGCCATTTGATTAAATGGTATTTGCATGTTCTTTTACAGACACATCCCTTTTAATACCCATAACTCATAAGGACCAGTAATTTGTACATTTTGGAGCGGGTTTATTTTACTGTTAGTTAAAGACGACCACAAGGTGTAAACAACCTGTTTGGAGTTTATGTTCTAGTACACTGCGCATTGCATTGCATCACAAATCAGTTGCTTAGCCCATTCAGTGACCATACATACAAACAGCGTGTTGATCTGGAAGTTCTTGGGTCGAATCCTAGGTGTTGTTGGGATAAAAATGTCGCTTTTTTAAGATACTGAAGCTTCCTATTTGATCATGCAAGCACAACCTCGTTCCAGGGAAGTTATTACTGTCCTCTAATATCAATTATCCACACTGGTGAGGGTAAAATCGTATTGAATTTGTATTGACTGTTTGCTCAAATGAATTTAAATTTCAGTACATACATTTACCTGTTATGATAATGTTATTCACATGCTATGGATTCAATAAACATACCAACCGTATTACTTCACCTTTCAGATTGCAACAAAGTTGATGTGGGAACGAGCTAAGCTTTGCATAGAGCCGTCATCTGGTGCTGCTGTGGCTGCTGTACTCTCAGATAAATTCAAAGCACTTCCAGCAAGCATCAGGAATGTTGGTGTAATTCTATCTGGTGGCAATGTAGATTTCTCTAAAATGTCTGCTCTAATGTCAACAGTGAAATGTGAAATTTAATTTACACACTTCAGAGTTCATGTATGTGTTGGCTATTACCTAGGAATGAAATATACTTGTTTTAATAATTGATAAATCCCGAGTATACAGATTCTCCTGGGTCGGACCTAAAATAAAGGACAGAGACAGCATACAGAGATACTCGTTGTGAGGACATTTTATTCCAGACGAGCATGCATAACGGGTCATGCCACCACCTCTAATTATACATTTAAACAAAATCTTGCTCAATACATTAGAAAGCCCACAGTCACTGCTTGACAGAGCAAAATCAATTGGAGTTCCAGCTATATTTTAATTTCATATATTTATTCATTCATTCATGTCTTTGTATCACATTTTACATTGACAATTTACAGACGTGCTGCACGATGATGCATTCAGTGGTTTGAATGTTAATGATGTTGGTTAAATTGACTTTATATGATTGAGGTCCTTTGGTGACTGAAACTGTTACTAATCCGTGTAAAATCAATATAATCCAATCACGACAAGACCATCATGAAACATGGTGCTCAACATTACCAGTTGATTAATGTTTTGTCAGCTGATACCCATATAACCACCTCTGCACTGTTGTGACTTGAAAGAACACGTCTGTATTAGGATTACCAGAGGTTTATGTTATTATTCCTGGACCCCATGACACCACGAACGGGAAAATGATGCAGTCTTTTTTTGGTTTGGTCAACCAGACAAGCATATAACGTTACATTGCAATACTTGTGAGAGGGCAATGCTGAGCTATATATGGTAAAATGGTTCTTTGATGATATGCATCTTTAATGACTGCATATACAATGTAGCCAGTAATAAAGCTTTTCCAAGTGCTGTGTACATGTATAAAAGCAAACATAGTACACCATAATAATTTGGGATCAGTAAGAAAAGAATCATAGGAGGCAAGGAAATTATTATTTATGCAAATTAGGTAATTACCCTGCACAATTTGTATCAAAATTGTATCTGTTTATAAGTTCTGAAGTCAAATCATTAAAATTTTAAATTGATCAATTAATACATTTTTATTTGTTCGGAGTGCGAATAATCAAAAGTTCATTGTTGGAATAAAAATGAACTGTTGTTGATATTGCCATTTATTTATTTCATGTAATATCTGCAACAAAAGTTCAAATCACCATGTGTACTCGTAAGAAAAAAGTTAATTTTATCCACATGCTATCTGATGAATGATGGATTTGAATGATGTGCAGGATAGTTCCATGCAAGAAACTGTTCTATCACCTATGCAAACTATTTTAACTGGCATACATTTACAAATTGGTCCAAGATTCTCAATCCATTTTATTCTTCAAACATGTAAGTGAAGGTCATCTTTCACTTTTTTTAGAGTCTTGTGAATAAACTTTAAAATAGAATAAAAATTTACATATGACCATAGTATAATAATAATGAAAAATCTTTTCACAAAGATTCAGCAAATTCCTAAAACTTTGATGAAACATTATTGAAACTTAACTAATATCTCACAATGAAGTATAAACTAATAACATTACATTTTATAAAATCACAACTCAATAGTCAAACTACTTCCAATCAGAATGTCATCCATATATAATGTAATAAGCTATTAAACTCAACACATTTACATGTTCATGTACAATGTAGCTGATCCCCAGAAACAATGCAACTGTAATCAGTATATTGTTAAATTTACACACCATCAATCATAAATGCAGATTAATTTCACAATAAAGATCATTTTAGTCCAGGTAGTCAAATTCTTCTGGAATACCAAACTGTTTGTCAATTACGTTCTCTTCAAATCCAAATTTCTTTTTACACCATGACTTGATGTTGAAAACATTATCTGAAAAAAAATGAAATATTCACAGCACTGATGGGTATTGCAAGAGCATTATCTGCAAGTGAAACAGTGACTGCCACAGTTGCAAAAGCAAGCACTATTGTTTTTCTAGTAGACTGGCTAGAAAATTGTTACCGTACTTATCCGGGTAAGAGCCCATGCCTGGACAAACGCCCACCCCCCACTTTTGACACAATAAAGAAGTTGAGGTCATATCCGGGCACACGCCCAGGGGGTCTTTTTCTACACAAAAAAAAAATACAAAAAAAAACTTTTCTATTCGTTGAACTCTGTCGTGATACTTATAAAAATTGTTAATTGCGTAAAACAAGGGGTAAACGCAAAATAGCTGTTACAGCTTTCTGCCTTCAGGGCAGCGCGTTCACCGCTGATTTTTTTCAGAATCATAACAGTCAGCAAGTCTATAAAAATAAATATTAAAGCAGGAACGGTAATTCTCTTTTTGAAATATGCCGTTTGCTTTGTGCTTCCTTGGAAACGATTCAAGCAAATCGTATAAGGAGAGCCGCTAAGCAAGTGTCGCACTCGTTCGGCTTTAGCGTCGTCGACAATGAAACCAATGTTGCAATATTGTAGCAACCCGTACCTGGGAGAATGGTTGAAATCACGTTATTTTGGCTTTATAAATATTTTGTAGCAGCTTGCGAATCCATACTGGGGCCAGCAATTTTGCAA